ATCAGTGAAAACTGCTGGGGCTCAGTCGTTGTGAGATGTTCCTGTGAGATGCTGGTAGCTGAGGCTGGGGACAGTTCAGGAACACAGAGGAAGGGAACGTCCGCCATTGGAAGCCACTACCAAGCAACGGCAATGAAGGCGTAACTGTGGATATTGATGTGTATGTAATACTGAACTGTAAAGTGCAGTCACGCGCTATATCAAAGAGTCCTATAAATTCCATCATCTGTCCAAAACCCGTTTATAGTCGCAGTCTATACACGTGACAGTAATAAGCAGAGATTACAGATTGTGAAGTTCCTTGTTGTATAATTTTATCTAATCCTTTGTTACGGTACGTCTGCTAGGTTCAACTATTGTCTCAGCACATTTTTTTTTTTCGAGCGTCATGAATATACAGGGTGTTTCAAAAAGAGCATAACAACTTGGAAAGCTTATATAAATTTGTACAGAGGACATACACAACGTTTTGAACTGTCATAATGTAGCAAAACACACCGAGTTTTACCTCGGATAGTTATGGTTCAATGTCACTTCCATTGGTAATGCTGCAGACGTCCCACCTGTAGTCAGTCTCTTGCCACACGCTACGTAGCATCTCTGGCGTCACTTCTGCAACTGAGGCAGTAATTCGAGTTCGGAGCTCAACGACATTTGCAGGCAAAGGCTGTACGAACACTCGATCTTTAACGAATCCCTATAAGGAAAAATCCAGGGGAGTAAGATCCGGGGAACGAGGTGCCCATGCTATCGGCGCCGCTCTACCAATCCACCGACCTGGGAAACGGGTGTTGAGGTACTGGCGCACTTCTCCAAGGTAATGAGGGGGTGCGCCGTCTTGCTGGAAGTGAATGTGTCCTTCTTGGTCATCTTCGTCTAACTGTGGAATGAGGAACTCTTGGAGCATGTCCAGATATACGATACCGGTAATGGTCGTCTCCATGAAGAAGGGGCCGTACACTGTTTCTTTGCTGAGGGCGCAAAACACGTTCACCTTTGGGCTATCACGAACGTGTTCCAGGGAGACACGTGGATTTTCGCTGCCCCAGATCCTGCAGTTGTTGGTACTGACCTTGCCACTGACATGAAACGTGCTCTTATCACTGAAAATTACGGAGTCCAGAAACTTCTCATCGTCTTGTATCCGACGAAACATTTGCATACAGAATTCCTTACGAACCACCTTATCTGCATCCGTAAGGTGTTGAACGATGGATAGTTTGTACGCTTTTAAGTGTAAACGTTTTCATAACACTCGCCACACAGTAACGTTTGGAGTACCAGTTTCCCGAGACGCACGTCGCGTTGACTTTCGTGGACTTCGAACAAAGCCCTCCCTAATCTGTTCCACTGTAGCGTCAGAAACACGTGGCCGACCGGGTGGCTTGGCATATCGCACAGAACATCCGGTCTGAACAAAATTCTTGTGCCAGGAGTAAATTGTAGGCCTACTGGGAGGTTCCTTGATATAGTGAGTGCGAAATTTCCTTTGAACTTGTGTAGCAGACTTCGTTTCTTCGAACCAAAACACACCACGAGCACGCTCTGCATCTGTGAAAGTAGCCATATTGATTTCAACTGCGGGAGCGCTCGCGGTGACGGTATTGGGTACTACAGTACCACATGCATGAAACTTCGTGTGTTTTGCTACATTATGACAGTTCAAAACGTTGTGTATGTCCTCTGTATAAATTTATATAAGCTTTCAAAATTGTAAAGCTCTTTTTGAAACACCCTGTACATACCAAGACCTGCTGTAACGGAAGCAGTTTCATGAGGACAGGTGCAGAAGTCTTGTTCGCTAGAGGAAACTGTTACAAAATGTTGTATCTTGTGTAGGGTACATTAGTTACAATGCTAAGTAAGACTGTCATGTCTTCCGTCTTTTTTAATAAACTCTGCAGACATTGTTTATTTTTTATGTAACGAATCGTTATGTACTCGTAATGCATGTGCGAACGTGTGTATTTGATTTTGAACTTCATAATGTAAACAATATCGGAACACTTTAGCCTACCTGTTAACTGCCACATAGGAGATAACACACTGCAGGAAATCATACCCACGAAGCTGGTTGACTATGGGCGGTAACACTTTTGGATTTCATTCATGAGGTCCCTGGTTCCAATATCGGCTGGGACGTACCCCTGCTGGGTTTCTGCGTGGACTGCCACAGTTCTGGGTAAATGTCGGGATAGTACTGTAAATTAGGCCACAGTCACTTCCTTCCATTCCATTTCCGGTTCATTATTTACTTATCCGATCATTCGACTCTGTAGTCTGCTACAGCGCCGCGATATGAACTGCGAATAAATGTAAGTAAAGCAGACGCCGCTCTTATGTAGATCTGTTATTATAACTCATATTTCAGAAACGAAAATATGTGGCATAATTTTATGTTATAGACAACACCAAGTACGATGTTTGGTGTCTGGTTATAATGTGATAAAGCTCAAGTTATCCCTGTAACAGACCATGGAGGCCCATATGGTTGAGACGTCGAGGCTCCCACAGTTTCTATGCAGTCGGCTCACAGATGGCTGTGAGGTCGTCAGCCTTACACGCCGGCCACTCTTTACCCACAGGAAGATTCCTGGTATTCGTTTCTGTTAGAGGCTGAGTCGGGGGTCACGCAGTAGCGTAGTCGATTGAGGCATTATGCTACAAGCCGGAAGGTCGCGGGTTCAAGTACCGATGAGGTTATTGGATATTTTTCATTTGACCTAATCATTCCGGCCGCACTGTTGCCCTGGGGTCGACTCGGCCTCTAACACAAATGAGTACCAGGAATTAATCAAATAATTTTCCTGGGAAGTAAAGCTCGGCCGGCGCGTAAGGCTGACAACCTTACCGCCATCTCTGAGTCTAGATACTGTGGGATCCTCAACGTCTCACAACCCTATGGGCCTTCACGGCCCGTTACAGGGATAGGTTTACTTTTTTTAGAGGCTGAGTCGACCCCAGGGCAGTAGTGCGGCTGGAAGGATTNATTGGATATTTTTCATTTGACCTAATCATTCCGGCCGCACTGTTGCCCTGGGGTCGACTCGGCCTCTAACACAAATGAGTACCAGGAATTAATCAAATAATTTTCCTGGGAAGTAAAGCTCGGCCGGCGCGTAAGGCTGACAACCTTACCGCCATCTCTGAGTCTAGATACTGTGGGATCCTCAACGTCTCACAACCCTATGGGCCTTCACGGCCCGTTACAGGGATAGGTTTACTTTTTTTAGAGGCTGAGTCGACCCCAGGGCAGTAGTGCGGCTGGAAGGATTAGGTCAATTGAAAAATCCAGTGACCTCATCGGGAATCGAACCCGCGACCTTCCTGCTTGTAGCACAGTGCCTCAACTGCGCTACCGCGTCCCCCTGTTATAATGCAATAATGCTTCTAATTAAGTAGATCCTGAAGTGTTCTGATGATGGTGTATAACACTCTGCATTGCAGGGGTTTTGGACTTTGTCCATCGTCTGGTACACTAAAGAACACAAAAGAACTCAGCGTTTCGGAAAGTGGATCTATTTCCGTCCTCGGGTGACGGACTGGGGACATTACTGTGTTGGTTCCGTTAGAAAGAGCTAACCTCAATCACTGGACATCTTATATCAAAATAAATTTACTCCTTTAAATACAGCTGTCCGTCGATTTACTAACGCTCGATTTTCAGACTTTCGCTACAACGAATCCTGTTAATTTGTACCTATTTTTCACTTAACGAACTTGATTTTCGCCACGGTACGTCGACTTTCACATGTAAAATATTTGGAAATATCTCCGATTTGCGAATTGTCACCCCACGAGCGGTTCTCATGGAACGAATTACCCTTTGCAAAAGGAAGGATACCCGTACAGTACGCCAGATCTGCTTAACATCGCTGGTGATGCAGTCTGTGACATCCAGCGTCAGCTTAGTGAATGCTGTTTACTTAGGAAGAAGATGCATACGTTACCCTCTCCTAATTCTTTACGGACTCGATCTTTTGTTTATGTAAGTACGCTATTGGCGATTCAGATTATAGCGCTGCTGATACTGAACAGTGACTTGGAAATGGTTCATCAGGAAGCTCTCATGATCTGCTTTCCCGTTTGTTGCTTCGGGAGGCTTAGAAACCCCACAAGAAATATCAGTGAGGGTAGGCTGTGTCCCTGCCGAGATATGAACCAACCATGTCCCGAACTTGTGGAACAGTCGTCGCTTATGTCAACTTGATTTGTGTTGCGGATTAAATGTGTTCTTACTTGGCCAACTCTAGAGCCTGAAGAGCTAGGCGAAACATCTTGACTTTCACCGGACTACATAGCGTCATATCCCTTTAAGATTTAACTTTTTCGAAACTCAGGATAAAAGAAAATATCTGCCCTCAAGCCTGTTATCCTACCTGTTGTTGTATGAGTGCGGAACTTGGTCTCTTTGAGAAGGGCATAGACGGGAGTGTCCGAGAACAGGGTGCTGAGGTAAATACTAGGACTTAAGAAGCAGGCAGTAACAGGGGACCGTAAAACTGCATAATGAGGAGCTTCGTAATTTATAATGTCTGCACTTCACGAAATATTTTTGCGATGAAGTCAAGGATAATGATGTCATGCAGCACGCATTAGACGAGAAGCGAAAACAAAATTTTAGTCAGAAAACATGAATGAAACAATCCATTCTAGACATTTCGACACAGATGGGAGGATAACATTAACACCAATCATAAATAAGGTCTGATTGCATGTGGTGGGTTAATGTGTTATAGAATAGTGACCGAAAACAGGCTTTTGTGAACACGCTCATGAACTTCCGGGTTCATAAAGAGGACGAGATATCTTGATTACCTGAGAGACTCGTAGGTTTTCAAGAAGGATTCTTCTTCAGTTCTTTGAGTTACAGTGGACCTACCCTCTAGTCATCTATCTTGTGTGCAAATGCCTCAGTAGTTTTCTGTTATAAGTCATATATGTGTTCTGTATGTATCCCAATTATCCGTTGGTAATACTGTGTTTTGTATTTATTTCAGAACGGAGCAGCCAACCGCAATCTCAGATTCCAACGTAAGTAGTTAAATGACTTTTAATTGTTCATACTTGCCAGGCATAGCAAATTATTTTCATTCATTCTGTACACAGTGTGCGTAACATAGTGTGCATGTTTAATTTCAAAGACTGCTCTATGAATTTCGGTTAAATTTTGTGTGTATAGGATGATCAGCTCAGTTGTTGCACAAATTCACGTTAATACATGGCCGGTAAGAACCCGGGGCACACGGTAGCGTAGGTGGTTGAGGCACTATGCTACAAGCCGGAAGGTCGCGAGTTCGAGTCCCGATGAGGTTATTGGATTTTTTTTTCAATTGGCTTAAACCTTCCAGCCGCATTATGGCCCTGGGGTCGACTCAGCCTCTTAACACAAATGAGTACCAGGAATCTTCCTGAGGGGAAAAGCGGCCGGCGCGTAAGGCTGACCTTACCACCGTCTGTGAGCTGATTGTTTAGAGAAAATATGGAAGCCCCGACGTCTCACAAACCTATGGGCCTTCACGGCTTGTTACAGGGATAGCTTTGCCTTTTTCTCTTTGCCGGTAAGAAGCTATTCAAACCTAAATTGTACTTAGTTACATTATGTTCGCTTCTTTCTCATATTTTCTCTTTCAGTTTCTCTTCTCGTTTACTTTCCTCTTCTTTTCGTCGTTTTGTTGCTTTTGTGTACTCTACTGCCATCTGGCCTCATTTTTTTTTTCAAATACCATTCATCGCGCAGAATGTTACTGCGTGGAATAAAACATCGGTCGCGCTAAGATCTGCAAGTTTGTTTTAAATATTTGTTGATATGCTGCATATTTAACTAGTACAGGTATATGCAGAAACGGATAACAACTGCAGTGTGACGGGGTTGCGGCAGTGGGTTACTGTTGGCAAGTAATATATTTGTGTCTTCAGTAAATTAACATCAAGGCCACTGAATAATGTATCAGACTAAACGCGCATGGAAAAATATTTTATGTTGCGGAAGTAAAACAAGAAGAAAACATGTACGTAAACTGAAAATACGAAGCGAATTGTGAGCGCGCCCATCTGCATGGTTTAACTGAAGGACGCCATGCGCATTTAGCGTTTTATGCGTTCCTGGAACGAAGTGCGTTGAGGGAATTCATGAAAGTCATGTTTGTATGTCAACTTAACTGCTTGACTACTTAACGGATTACGGTTAAATTAAGTATAGGATTTCTACACTAAATGCCCACAATATGAAGCTTAAATTTAATGTCATGGTTTTTTTTCGTTGGACAACAAACAAAAGCAGTAAGAAGATTGTTATCGTCTGGAATGTGACTCGGCAATGTTTCATAAAAGTTTATCAGTTTTTCGGAGGAATATGCTGCCTCCATCTTCAGGATCGAAGAGTAGGTCATGTGCTTGTTTCTTGCTCCCCTAACTTTTGCTTACTCTTCACGGGCACCACAATGAGGACTTCAAGACCTCGTTTTCTCGTCTTATTCTTAAGGATGGCCTTGATGTTCATTTATTGCACATAACAGATTTATTTATGGGACGCTTATCGCAATGTAAAGTGAGGAATTATTCTTCCTTGCATCTCATTAATTTGTTGACAGATGTTTAAAATATGCCTTATGAATTTTAATTAGACCTATGTTTTTAGCCTACTTATTTAAAAAATAAGAAGCTTATGAGATCACCTTGCTGTCTGTATATCCGTCAGTGTCTCCTTCTGTGCACCCCCCAAATAATATTTCAGGGTTATGAGGCTTATGAGACCACGTTGCTGTCTGTATGTGTATCCCCACTCTTTTTTACATAATATATAAAATGTACAAAAGCCAGTATGTAAACTAGGGTTATTATGGTCAGATACAAACTAAAATTTAATTTCCCAACGAATTTTATTGCAGACAGTGCAGTATTAAAGTTAGTATCCGTTTGGTAGTTTCCGAGATAAGACATGCGGACAGACGGACGGATATCACATTCCCCCTGTGCTTGGACACACAAAACGAGTACATGATGTAAATAGTGTAATCTTACGTGAAGCAGTTTTTACATAATATATGTTTAACTGAATACAAGCAGACGTGTGCAGTGTCTCTCTTCATTTGTTCCATCAGCACTACAGTTCGTGACTTTACGTTCTCTGTGTATCGGAAACATGTTACCCACCATGTGAATAGCTTAATGTAATCTGTCCCTTTGTAGAGAAAACTACAAATTCATTGTATGGCATAACAAATGAGGGACTGAAGCATGTAGATGTGAGAGAGGGAGGATCTGTTAATTGAATTAAACATTTTTGACGGCCAGGAATTGAGCTGGGTGGGGGGAATCCTGGCTTCAAAGGGTGCCTTTTGTGAGTCACTAATTTGGTTCTCCGCGGATGGTTTGTCTGCTAAATGAATGCGTTTGTTTGGGACTCATGCAATTAACTACTGATGGTGAAATCGGTCAAGATGAGTGTCTGCGTGGCCGGCTGCCTATACACTCATACGTCAGCAGCTCAGGGGTCACCACCGACGCCCCCCCCCCGCACCAAATAAATCTGAATACAAAGAAACCGTTGAGAAAGTTACGTTTTAATAATATAGATGGATTCATTGAAGAAAAAAAAATTTTTCCTTGGCACTACAGTGGGCCTAGGCCTACCTCCATGAACTTATCCGTTCACTTCGGTTTTTCTAAATCTTACACATTCGGTAGGACTCCTTGGGCGGGTGATCAGCTCGCCGCAAGGCCTCTACCTGTACACAAACACATAAAAACGCGCACACACAAACTAAACATCCATGCCCTGAGAAGGATTGAAGAAAATTACATAATGATGAACCGCATAATTCGTACAATTCACTTGATGTTATTGGTATCATTAATTAGCTGGGTGGGGCGTGTAACACGCAAGGGAATGGGGAAGCGCATAGAGCGTATTGGTAAGAAATGAAACCACTTCTTAGATCGAGGCATAGATGGGAGGATGATATTAAAATGGGGTACGTGATGTGAGGTAGATAAGACTGGCCTTGGATAGGGTCCATTTTGATGGACCTGAAGGTTTGGCCAAAGCAAGGAATTTATTGACTGATTTCGCTATGAATGGATGTAATAGTGGGACTTTAGGTTCTCACGGCCGTGACTATGAAGATACCTATATTCTGCGATGTGGCGCCGTGTAGTTTGGTAGATACGTACCGAAGTTTCGGAGGAACCTGCTGTTTCCGTCTTCAGTGTAGAAGAATGGAATGGTGTAATTATATTTCGTCCATGATTTGTAGGCAGAAGAACAGAGAATGGAAGGGATTAGTGGGCATGAAGATTTCTGTCTTAGCGATATAACGCCGTGTAAATAAAAGGTAAAGCTGTCCCTGTGCTTCAATAATTAAGTATTATGCTATAAAGGCGTATGGGGGAGTAGATGTACAGATCCGCATTTTCTTGACCTCGGCACTAGTTGGGGCTGAGCGGTCAGCTTCACGCCCCGGCCGCTTTGCTCCCGGTACACATTGCGCTCCATAACGCCGTGTAGTCTGGCGAAAGTCAGCCGACGTTTAGGATGAACATGTCGGTCCCATCGTGCGGATGTAAGAGTAAGCTGAATAGGAAACCTTCGTAAAGTAGGCAGGAAGCACAGGTCGGTTGATTTTCGCCGGATACACGGCGTAATATCCCAGTAGACAGAACTTTTAGTGGTCACCGCTAGTACCTGACATTAGAATATAGGACATCCTTAAAGGACTCTTACAGAAATTGTAACTACATTCTTGAATTTACAGTTTTCGACACAGGTTGGTTAAAAAATATAATGGCATTGTTTCTCCTGTGTTTGAGTATACCATGTAGAGGGAGTGATGATATATCTCCACTTCTTCTAAACTGCGGCATTACACAGGTGTGTTACCATGACGCTCCGGTACCCCGGCAGAAGTGGTCCTCTTAAAAAGGTAGAGGTATCCCTGTAACAGGCCATGGAGGTCCATAGGGTTGTGAGACGTCGAGGCTTCCACATTTTCTAGATAATCGGCTCAGACGGCGGTGAGGTTGTCAACGTTACTCGCCTGCCGCCCTTTACCCTCCCAGGAAGATTCCTGGTACTCATTTCTGTTAGAAGGAGTCGACCCCAGGACCATAGTGCGGCTGAAAGGATTAGGCCAATTGAAAAATTCAGTGACCTCGTAGGGAATCGAACCCGCGACCTTCCGACTTGTGGCATAGTGCCTCGACCAACCACACTACCGCGTGCCCCGAAGTGTTTCCGTTAGCCTTCGAATAGGATCCTGTTTGCACCGCAACGTCGGTGTGGACGTTGTGACGCTACCGAGAATCGAATCCGTTGTCGTATTCCCCTTAGCTGCGCTTTTTATGTACGTACCAAAACCCCCCAGTTCCAAACCCCTTCATTATATCTGAATTTAGTGTTTTGGTTTGGGGGCTGGATATCTCGGATAGAAAAATTTGAGAAAGGCTGTTATAACGATTGCAGATTAAGAAAGCCGATTGTACTGTTTTTGAACGGTTCCCTTTAACGTCTCCGATATCACGTATACTCCGATTGCCTGTGCTCTGTTACCTTTCGGAAGTGATGGTAGTTGTACCGTCCAACATGGCGTCGCTTGATGAACATTCAGCGGTTGCCGGTAACCCCAGAGTGCAGGTATCAAGATTACGGTTGTGTTTTATAGAACAAGCAACAGCTTGGTCGACGGCGTAACACCGGAAACAGGTGCACTATAACCGGACTGCATTGCAGTATGGAAATTACTCTTTCGTTTTATGTAGGGACTGTAGGGATGTTACCTACAGTGGTACTACAATAAAGAGCACCGTCTTCTGGTATATAGTAACATGTAGTCCGTTGAATTTCAGAGAAACATGTAGCCTTCAGGGTCGAAGAATAAGCCAGACAAGAAAACATCCTGAAATATATAGCAACCAGAGGCGACATTTTCCTCTGAAATTTCGGTTCATAACCACCGCAGTCAGAACCTAAATCCTGTCACGAATTCTTGTGAACAGCCATAAGAGACCAGAAACTTAACTCTAGTGATACCGTC